GTGCTTCCAGGTATGCGGAGTTCTGCATACATGTTAGGTACCATAGTAGTGTTTTCTGGATGTTTTCAAGAGATGAGAAGGAAGCAGATGCAGGAAACAGACACATGGAGTTTCAGTCACGGAGCTTGCTGCCTTGACAACAAAGGAGGGACTGAGGTCATAAGCCGCTGCCACCAACTTCCACCCAACTCTGAACCTGATCTAGAGCCTGAGGTGTCCTCCATGGGTGAAATCTCTGAGATGACATGCTATGTCTCTGCTTTGGGACAGGACTCCCACGAGAACACTTCTGAAAAGTCAGGGAGCTTTTTCCAAGAATAGAAGGAGAGCCACACAGACGTGAGCTCCAAGTTCCACAGTTTTTCTCAGGGATTCCACCTCACAATCTGAAATGTATCAACCCAGATCTCTCTGTTTCTTATGAGATTATTTTTCCTTCATAATCCTGGTTCCTGGTGTAGATGAAGCAGATGAATTTTTTTTGCATATGTAATCAGTCTTTATTATGCTAAAAGCAATTTTTGAAGTTTATGATTTTTGCTAAGTCTGTAGCAGTTCAATGTGGGTAGCAAGGACATATGTATCTGAGCCCCATCTGTCATTTCCACTAGTGATGAAGCCAAATTTATAATTTAGCTCCCAAAGCCTAATAATCACCAAATGTTTCAACAGACCCCCTGGCCACTCCCCGAATAGCAGAGATTTGTAAATGCAATTCAATGGAGATGAAGTGCTTCCACGTGGATATTATAATAATTTTTTTGAAAACAGTCCCATTTTAGTTCTGCAGCAAGATCTCTCTGACATATTATATAATATATTCTCGCAAGGTCTTGAGCCTTTGTTGGACACATATACATGTGTCTGCAAATATGTGGGCACTGGCAGGCCAGCATGATAGAGCATACAAGGCAAGAGTTTCTCTCCAAGACACAGGAATATTTATAATGTCCTGGAGTTTCCAGGAGAAAGATCATCTGATGTAAATTATCCTAGGGAATAGTTGTGTTACCCTTATGTATTGTATTTGTTTTTTAAAGAATGAGTAGTAGGTTTAATTTTAGATCAGTTCTATACTTACAGAAAATCACACAGACAGTGCTGTGCTCTCATATGCTTCTCTGGCCTCACAATTTACAGTCTTCACTGTCATTAGCACCTTGTATTGGAAGACCATCATAATGGGTAATGACTCAAAATGAACACTGTTACTATACAAAGTCTATCTGTGTTAGAGATCACATCCCCTTGAGTCTTGACTGATGCACTATGTTGTATATCCACTATACAGTATGAGGCAGAATAGTTCCACTGCATAAAATTCCCCTTCATTAATTTCCCTTTTATAGAGTTACTTTACATAGTATGAGCTTCATACCACACTGTTCTGTTTCTCTCTGAAGCACTGTCAACACTGGGAAGGTCTCGAGACATTAAATTCATCTATTTTCATTTGAGAAAAATCTCTCTCATCTTCAATTTTAAAGGACAGTTTTACTAGGAACATAATTCTAGACCAATGCTCTTTATGACTTTTTCAATACTTTCTTGTTTCACTCTACCTGTGTGTCTTTGCAATAGAAGCTAGATGCAATTATTATCCTTGCCCTTCTGTAGGTTAAGGTCCATCTCAGGACACTTTCAAAATTTTCTATTTGTCTTTGGTTTTCTGAAGCTTGACTATGAATCGTATATGAAGAGTTTTGTTTTTTTGTTATCCTGTTTTTGAGTTTCTAAAGCTGTGGCTTGGAAGCTATGGAAATGTCCTAAAGTCTATGAGTCCTTCCTCAGCCATGTGCAATATACATACAAGCTACCCATGACAATCTTCATTTATGTTACATCAATCTTAGTAGTTCCTCTTTTCAACTCTTCAATTGCTGTTGTTGAAGGTTGGGGAGGCCTTGGAGATAGAAAGTGTATGGTAAGACCTCTACCTAGTGTTTCTACATTTTTTACGTCATGGAAGTTTCTACAAATAGGTTAAGATATTCTGGAAATTGAATTCACTCTTTTTAATTGTCTTTGCATGGTTTTTTTTCAGATGTGACACAGTGTCAGATACATGATGGAGTAACAAGTTTTCTCATGCAGATGATTTGGAGATGCCCTGTAATGAAGCTCATCTCAGTCAGCCATGTGTGTCCCAGCTTATTTGAAGTGGTCTCGTGCACTGACTATTTGAGAAGTCACACAATGTCCTGCTGTAACATGGCTCTGTGGTTGCTACAGCCTTGAGCCCACATGTAGTCTGTTTGCCCTAGTATCCCTTCTGCCTGCCTAACTCACTTCACTCTCTGAGTTTCCATCTTGTTTCTTATATTACCATCTGTTCTTGAAAGTTGTTCACTTTCCCATTAGGTCCCTTAGTAAACTAATCATAGTTGCTTTAAATTCCTGATCTAGTAATTCTTAAGCTTTTGTCAAATGATAGCACTTATATATAATAATGATAACAAAGTGACTGAAAGTAAATTTTAAGAAAAGCTTACTTACAATAATTACAAAATAAAATAGATTTAGGATAAATTTAATTAAGATAATTTTGTACTAAAAATTATAAAATGCTGGAAAATGAAATCAGCAGCATAGATAAATAGAAGGATATCTTGAACTCATGAGTTAGAATAATTAATATTGCCAAATATCTATACTATGCAAAGTCCCTAACAAAATCTCCTTGTTATTCCTCACAACAATAGAAAAACTTCCTAAAATTGATATGCAATCACAAAAGATCCCACCAGTCAATGACCTTCACTAGTACCCCTGCTCCTTTCTCTGAGAGTATGTAGGAAGGTGCATAGGAGTAGTTAGGCTTTCCTTTTCCAAGAGATGAGGCTCGCTCTTGACCAAGGAAGCTGCACAGTCTTCAGGGCTCCCATCTTCCATCCTTGCTTCCTCCGTTCTGCATCAGAGAACCTGGTAGAGTTCTTGATTGGTCCCAGAGGATTTCTGTCTCCTAATTCATCCAGTCTCAGTCTCTAGCAATTAGTCCACCACTCTGACCATGTTCCTATCATGCTGGCATTGGAAACTTTTTTGCTCCTTTGCACACTGACTATCTGCCCTTTCCCATCCATCTTTCCAGTTTCTAGGGTGGCAGTTGACCTGCACATAGTCTTGGTTTCCTGAAATGCCCACGGAAAGTTTTGAATTCAATTTGTCATCTTCTTCTTGTAAATTTCAGCTGTCTATGATGACAGCTGTGTTTGCTGGACCAGAAGCTGGGAGCATCCTCCCTTCTTTGTGGCTTATGTCTCCAAGGGCACACATTCAGTCTCACCAGTCCCAGGTTCTGAAAGAAATATCATAAATACTTAATCTGTTGTGATCTTCTTTGCTTTGCAATAAATGATTCTATAGACATTATTCTCTAAACGTGCATGATGCTGAAGATCTGAACCATCTTCATGCAACTGCCCTGAGTTTGGGATTTTTCTCCTTAAACATTTGTCAATCTTAATATTGCCAAAACATATGGAAGTATTTTTAAATTCATAGTTACAATTTCTGTGTCTGAGATAATAAGTAAAGTTGGAGGCTGGGTGAACACATTTGGAATCATTCCTCCTATATCTCTGCATTCAGAGCCTCCCCAGAGCACTGTGATGACAGAGGAACACAAAAATGAGCACCTTCTAAGAAAAGAGGCATTTCACTTTTGTTTTGTAAAAAAAAAAAAAAAAAACACCCAAATGCTTATTAGGAAAACAATGGCTTGGTTGGGGGAGTACAAAAAAAAGGGAAAATGTTTAAGTTCACATAATGGTTTAATCACTAAGGAAAGCACACCAATTCACTATAAGTATAGAAAGTATGTCTTATTGCCAGGATTGCATATACATACTGGACATGCACAAGCCAGTCAGCCTGTGGCCTTCAGAGACTCATAGACCACCCCGCACCACACACACACACACACACACACACACACACACACACACACACACACACACGGAGAGTAGCACAGAGTGCTTCTAGTCACCTGGTGACTGAGGTTTCTGATTTTCCAATATAATGAGCAGCCTGATCAATCATGTTTATTCTGCAGGCAAAAGAACCTTTGTGTGGTTAGAGAGGGTCATTCCAGAACTGTAAGTAAAAAGGTAGGAAGCTGAACAATGACATATGATTGGAGAGCCTTGGAGCCCTTTTGTCCTCTGCCCCACTGCAAAGCCCAGAGATATGGCTGAAAACTGATTAGTATCATGGCAGGGCAAGTGGCAAGCAGGAGTCTTATATACTTCCTCCTCCTTGATGGAGCATAGAGAAGAGTCTTCTCTGTGTATAGAAAAGAGTCTCTAAGAGCTATGGCACTGGGCACATCATGTCTATACTTGATTTCATACTATGGTACTAGAGAGGGAAATGCCAAACAAAGTCAATGGCACAAAAGACATCATGGAAAAACTTGTACCTACACAAGGTTTGTCTGCATCATTGTTCACAACTTAAATTACATATTCAAAGCAGGGTTTATCCCCACCTAACACGGGTCTGAGCACAGTATAGCAGTGGAATCCAAGAAATAACTCATTACCAATTTGAGTGAGAAGTGTTACCTGACATGTCACTTGACATGCCTGGAGGATGACAAGTGGGTGCTTCTTACTTCCATCCTGCTTGAGGACAATCTTATAAGTGGCTGTGCTGACTCAGGTCCACATGCTATTCATGCAGCTAACACCCGGCCTTGGTGTCTTCCTTGAAGCTCCACTCAACTCATTCTAAAGCTGGTTTTATAGAACTTGAATTTCTTCTCTTTATATGTGAAATATTAATAGATTCCAGAAAACCTTTAGGAAACTTAAAAAATTAAAAATAAAGTGGTAATTTAGTTTGCAGTCTTTAAATGTCCTTTAAAATCTTTGCTTACATTCAAGCATTTGACTTGTATAATGGATATAGCAAAATCTCTAGTCACACAATTCCTCCAGAATTCAAAATGTAACTACTGCACAGTTTTTTCTAAATTTCTCTTTGCTATTTTTTTCCAGCTGGCTCCACAGAGATATCACAGCTATTAGGGGGACAATCAGCTCACGGGTAGCTCTGTGAATGGCGCTCACACAGACACATCTGCTGCTCTGACTTGCACAGCTCCTTGGCTCCATCCTGGCTCAGAAGCTCAGTCACAGGGTTCTAAATAGGAGCTGAACCAACTGGGACTTCCTGCGTCAAGCGACTTTGTTTGGAATTGTTTTGCTTCTGCAACGCCCCCTTAATCAAGTAATGCTGTGGGTATTTCGGGTGTGTGAGCATGTGGCTGTGAATAGATGCTAAAATCTTCCAGCTTTCAAAGATTCTTGTGTTTCTTTGTGAATGTCTGTATGACAGTCTCCTAGCATATTTGAAAGGAATCATTTGGCTTATGGAGGCAGAAAAGGGTTGCTTGGAATAGAAGGTGTCCACTCAGCCTTCCACCCAGTGAGAACTTTGACCCAGCACCAAAGACCATGGACTGAGCCTTTTTATGAATTAGGTATTCTATGTGATATTTCTTCAGTCATCACAGTATTTTAAATTTGCAACTTCTTATGTCAAGTATTTACTTTTCCTTTTTTTTTCTTTTTCTGTTGTTTAATGCATGACCTCACTATCTTTAAACTCTTGATTCTTGGTTTTTAGATTCCCAAATAATTTCTGGATTGCAAGCATGTGCCATCATGTCTGGATAAATCTATCCCACCTCCATGATTCACACACATGCACAGAGGCACCAATTTGAAAAATTATATTGAAAAACCATATTGAAAAATGCTAATTAAATCAAAGGTGAATGTTTCTGAGTCCCTCTTCTGTCTTGAGTGGGGCTAGTACTACCCTGCCCCATAATGGTTTTGGGTCTCTGTGCTGAAAGCTTGAGATGCCAGCTTGTTTTTGTGAAAGAAGGTACTCTTCTTATGCTTTACCACTAACTGCTGTTTACAAAAAATTAGGAGGAATTAACTTGTTAACTTGTCAATTCTAGCTTTTAAAAATTCCTAAAACCACTATCACTGCACTGTTAGTACACTGAAACAAAAGCCTCACCCAAAAGATTGGTGTTACCTGAGTGGATCAACCAAATGACACTTTACAAACAGATTCATTCTTGAAACAAATAAAAGGAAGATCTGGTAGTGCTCAAGATATCTGATGGCCAGCAGTATTTGTGACCTGTAGAACTCAAGACTAGCCACCGAAGTGTCCTATTCTCACTGCCTCAGTCAGGAGGAATGGATCTCTCTTGATTCCTGTTCTTCCTTTTCTTGGCTGCATAATCTATCCATCACTTTCTGTCATAGTTTTTTCAGTTTGCTACACACATATAAATAAAATGAAATCTGTGTCAGTTGTTAACATGTAGAATTCATGGGAGGAGCCAAATCACTAGACTAAGAGTAGATTTGGGGAGCTATGACTGAAACAGCACCCCAGTCCACCTCATCCCCTTGAGAATGTAGATGATCCCACAAAAGGCTGTAAGTCTCTCTAGGGACTACAGCCAAACTTACAATAACATGAAGTGTTCCTCCTCTAATAACCTTTTCCTATATCCTCCAGGACTGCAGAACCTCAAAATCAGCCATAGTGTCTGTCCTGCATCTCCATCCAGTCTTGGATTACAGTGTCTTGCCTTGTGTTCTGCTCCAGGCCTATGTACTTACTAGGTGGTCACATGGCTGTCCATTGTCCTGTTATAGCCCCATTGTTTATCTCTTTCTTCTGAGTTGTGTATGATCATTGTAATTCTGAGTCAAAGTAGCTGAAATCACCTACACAAGACCATCATGAGATCAAGCCTGTTAACTCCTTGGTGAAGAGAGAGTAGGGTAATGTGGGAATCTTGAGGCCCAAGAGGCTTGTGACCTACAGTAGATCTTCAGGAGGCTCTTCCATCTCTGGAGTTATATTGGTAAAAGCTTAGCTGTGGGACTCTTCTGTAATGTAGTTGCCATGCATTACACAGTGGAATTCTTAATGGTGCCCTTGCATGTCTATGTTCATGTAAGTAATCTCAAGTTCGCCACTCTGGACTTGGATAGAATCCTTTCTTTGGTTTATGTGTACTCTCTCTATCTGAGTAAATAGCACTTCTTTTCTCCCTCTAAGAAAAGCCACATAGTATCTGTGTGCTTAGGTAGAAGTAGGTGGACTTTTTGATCCTTAGGGGAAACCCACATGTGTGATGGTCTCTATAGGGCCTAGTAATGATACTTCAGATCAGGGGGTTCCCTGGGACTTTTTCCTTGGTTACTCTGGAAAAAGATCTGTTTTTGGCTGCTGTGATTATAATTTGTCTTTTCTGAAAAGTCTTGGAGAATAGAACAGCTTTCCATGTGTGTCTTGTCCATGCTCAGACAGTGGCTTTTAGTGACAAACCAGAGGGTCTGCCTTCTTTATACCCATTCAGATGCATATGCTGCATGTGCCCTGGTGTCTAGCTTCCATTGCATTTTGTTGTTCTAAACATTTCAGTTTTTATTTGCTCTGTATACATGGAAGCTGAGCTGGTTGTCTGTGACTCTGAAGGCCCCGTGAAAGGGACCTTATAACAGTAACTAAGCAGAGTCTATTTGCTTTGGCTGCAGAATGATCTGTAAAAATTGGCAGCAGAAAGACTCCAAACTCAGTGAAGTTCTTTATTTTAATTTTTATGTAAAATAGATCAACTTTATCCACTATGTGGCTCGTGAAGAAGCAACAGTTGAGTGGGATGGGCATGGAGATTCTAGAGAGGGGCAACCTAGGGTCTGGAAGGAGACACAGGAGAGGTCAGGGTGGAGCTTGCATATAACTTTCCCTCTGTGCTTAGCAAACTAAGTACCCACTAGGCTTGCACCAGAAAATTCACATGTCAGGTGGACTAGATCATGTGAGAGTCAGCTATCTGTTGGCATGAGGCTGTGCATGAACATCCTGAACTGTACAGTGAAAACTGCGACTATGGCTGAGGGGTGTAGAGGAAATACTGAAGGGGTAGGCTGGAAAAGAAAGAAACAGACAGCCACAAGGAAGGATACTGTGACCAGATTGTGGTGCCCCATGAGAAGTCATCATTGTAGATAGCCAGAAGCTTCAGGTCCATGGTTTAGTGGCCTTGAAAAGGGAGCAGAGTCTGGAGAGTAGGTATCATTATCCAGATTTTGAGTCTCAAGGACTGTTTCTGAGGTAAAGTTAAACTGAAGACAGTGGGTTGGTTGAAAAGATGTGATTTAGATGCTCTGGATTATTTTACAAATATTTGGGAGTCAGGGGAAGAAGGATAGGGACGATGGTCCCAGGGGTGATGCAGAAAATCCTTAAGAGCCTCAAAGAAGTGATACCTTCCATTGGGATGACATGGAGGACAACCAGTGTAGTCATTACCGGTAGAAATAGAAATGAGGCACTGAGATGTAGACAAGCCCAGACTTAAGGAAGACGAGAGACTAGGATCCCTATGTCTAGAATCTACTGGATGAGTGTGGTGTATAGAGTTCAGCAAAAGCCTGTGGAATATTGTAAAGGAGATGGGTGGCAGGTCACAGATCTCCAGGAAGATGACTGTGACACCAGTTAGTCTTGGAGGTTCAATCTATGATAATGTCTATAGTTTTAGGACCCTGGGGGAACTGGCATATCATGGCAGGAGCATGTGGCCAAGTGGAGTTGTTCACTTCATGCTGGAGCATAAACAGAAAGAAGAGACTAGGGTCCAATATCATCTCTCAGTGTACTTTTCTAATGTCCAGAGTCCTCACTGTGCCTCTCAAAGGTCCTATGTCCTTATAGTGTGAGGACATGTAAATCTAAACCATAGCAAGAGCTCAGTGGACCAAGGAATCAGGACTGAGGATTGAAGCTGTGTGTATGTCATGGGAGCTGTGTATATGGTAGATACTTATACTGTGAGCTGGTGGCATTGCTTGGGGACAGAGGCAAATGAAGTGGTGCCAAGATCTGTCACAGGGCTTGGGAATTCCTGATGGCCTGCACTGCTTGCTGAAAGCTTTAGGCTAGCTGCTGGGTGCCTCTGCCCTAGGTTCTAACATGGCCTTTGCACTCACTGGTCATGTCAAATATGGAGGATATTGCTTTGCATAACTGAATGGGTACTGATTCTAAGCTCATTTGCAACTGTGACTCATAGCCAGAGGACAGGAAGTAATGGGGTATTTTTACAGCAGAAAGTTGGAGTGCACAGGAGCCTTGTCCTGCCTGGGGCTAGCAGGGTGTTTGATGGCAGAGCTGGGTCCAATGCCAAAGTCCACATCGCTGTAATGGTGTTATCTTTTTGTATCACTCTGCCATACTTTTAAAGAATAATCAAGTTTAAGTTTCATACTTACAGGCCATGATTTCGCTACTAGAATGCAGAAAAAAGGACACTCCTCAAGCCCCATAATGTCTTTGTTTTAATGAAAGACATGTGTACTGGGGCCTTCTGTTCACAAATCCTGTGAAGGTGTTGAGTGACAGTGGAGAGTAGCAGTAGACAGGACCTGTCCATCACATATTCTTGATCTTCCAGGTTGGGGGCTGCTTCAGGTTAGGATAGGATATAGTGATGACTCGGTTTAACATTCTGGCATGAACTGGCTAAGTGATGCTGGAAGAGATCAGTTTACTTGTGAACTTACAAGAGGGAGGGCAGTTGTCAGGGCCCAGGAATGGCCTGCAGGGATAAAGACACGTCTAGCTAAGGCTGTCAACACACCCAGGATGGGAATCCTACAAGAACAATGCACTTCTGTCCCCTGAACAGGGAAAAGAAACTAATGCGAAGGAGGGGCCTCCCTCACCTCAGCTCCCAAGAGTCACACATACATGCAAAGGGCATTGCTAAAGAAATTAGAGGAAAAAAGTACACAAAAGTTGGAGGAAATTATTCAGTGCTTTAAAAATAATGGAGATGAAAGGCATTACCAGATTTGTGGTGCTGTAGATCTCTGATCCTGAGAGGTGTGGCTGAGTTAAAGACTTCCTTAAAGTGGGAATTTCTTAGTTCACATTGTGTGACAGTGTGATTTGAAAACTTAATTCCTTTAGTTGTATATATGATTCAGGTCAAGTTCAGGTCCAGTGGTGGATATGCTTGGACCTTATTTCATCTTGTCTTTCCCAAGTGTCCTCAGCTAATTTTCAGAAGCTAAGCTGAGGAAACATAGCAGAAATGGGAAGATGAACAGGGTCCAAAATCTTTACAGGTGAACATTTATGGGAAATTCTGCTGACCCCTGACCTCAAGGACAGCTTTATGGAAAGGGTGG